GCCCAGCTCCGAGGCCCAACATTTACCAAATTCTTACATTTAATTCCGATCTTTCATATGTAATGTCAGGTTTTGCCTTACTCCTGTTTTCTACGACTAGTTTGGATTTTCTCATATCAAATTTTCTTGCAATTTATTTAAATTTCCTACAATTATGCTTTGTTCGTGATACTAATAATGCAGCAGCAGTCGGAGCGTCAGGTACACATTAACAATTTATTTATTGCAATTTTATTATCTTTATCTAACTGTCACTTTACTTTACTATGCATGCTTTGCCTGCAAAACAAAAAATCATTTAAAAAAAGAAATTAATACACTTTTAAACCCCTTTTGAACACACTCAATCAACTTCTTTTGAATTTACGAGAATCAATCTGAAGAGGTAACCTACGGTTGCTAACGAGAATTCTCCGGTGTAAATGAACTTAACAGCTCGTTTAGATTAAGTAAATTCAAAAGAAAATAGTGATGCCGAGACGACGAAACCGTGAGATCTTGATCGATGTCGCTTAAATTAAAATTCCTCCAAAAACAATTCAATAATAAAACTTAATAATAACAAACACGACATTTAAACTGCAAACCTTAGAGCTAACACTATAATAAGGAGCTTGGAGCAGACTGTGGGCAGCACGACGAGGGCACAATGCACAAAAGAACATCTTCGAGAGAGCAAATAAGGTCTCCATCAGCCAAACAATTCCTAGTTTAAACAACAAATTCATAAGACATTGAGGTTGTCTTTCTAGTGTGACATAAATCTGACATAAATCCTCACTTGATATTTAGGTTTTTGCACAATCATATTGTGTAGTATACGCCCCAATTTTTTTTTGAATTCCGAAGTCGTTATTCGGTATTGCATAAATTCTCTTATTTTTCAGACTATTTACATGGTCGGATATAATGCAAATGTAATCCTTAAATAATAAAAATAGACAGAATGAAATATTAAATAACATCATCTTCAAAATTGAAGTAAAACAGTATGGTAGTTTGAGAAGTCAGTAAGACTCCTTAAGAATTGTGACATCCTCTACTTTTTTTTTCTTTTGGATTCCTAAATTCAATGCTTTTATATGATCCACTCTCATTTGATTTTTCTATGTCCAACCTTGAAAACTAAACTTTGAAATTTTGAAGCCAAATACTTCTGATCATTTTCAAGAGTTTTCTTAAGTAATATCGGTTGCTTAGGATATAATTAACTATAAAGGCTCGCCTTTATAGGGAACTAATGAACCTAGGTAATATAAGCCTTATTTAATCTTTATATTAGATTTTAGAACTTATCAGCCAACTTATAAAAAAAGATTCGCATACCAAACAGATGTCATAAATTTTTTAGTTTATGTAATCGAGCCCCGCTAACAAGAAATGCTTCAATTCCTCGGGATAGGTGCATTATTTGTGATGTGGTGCTTGGTTATTTAAACTATTGAAATATGTGAGGTCTTTTTGTCTCATTTTTAAAAAATTTAAAATATTATTTTCAAAAAAATCAAAATTATGTGTATTAAAATAAACATTATTTTCAAATAACCAAAACTAAATTAAATCAAAATTTCTTGCCGCCGACAGTAACATTTCGTTGTTATCCAGAAATGCTTCAAATTACATGATATGCGACATAACAAGATGTGGGATGTTGCAAGAGATAAATTTAAAACCCTCAAATTTTAGACATTGAAAATCTTCTCGATAGGACAGAGTTGAAAGCTATGATATTTAATGATGATGATAGTTGAAGTAAAATAACAATACATGCCAAAGAAGTTGCAATCCTTTTATTTCTTTTAAGGAATAGTTAATGAAGAGAATTTTAATTTTGATGTAAGATAAGACTGTTAATACTTACTTTTTTATGTTAGAAACTAAATATTTATCTATGAACATCTTGGTTTACGAAAGTTAATGCTATTAAATTTTGTATGTTTTGAATTATTTTTAATATTTTATTTAATAATTTTTTACATAAAATTTGATAATTTTTATTATAATGACATGTCATATGCGTGTTTGTGTCCTTTATTTTCATAATAGAATTGTTTGGTATCCCTGTCGCGTCATGCCGTGTCCCCATATTCGTATTTGTGCAACAACTTTTTTTACAAGGTTTTGGTATTTCCACAAGCAAATTTGGATCTCATGTATGTCTATTATGTCTGAATTGTGGTTATTAAAGTTTAGATTCATCTATTGTGGACTTTCATTCTTGGATTACTATTCTCCCCCCTTCACCTCCTTGCTCCCATTCTATGCTAGAAATATCTTTGTCATCGATGATGAGTTTTGCTCCAGTAGATGCAGTAGAGACGTCATGCCGTGTCCCCATATTCGTATTTGTGCGACAACTTTTTTTGCAAGGTTTTGGTATTTCCACAAGCAAATTTGGATCGAACAATTGGGATCTCATGTATGTCTATTATGTCTGAATTGTGGTTATTAAAGTTTAGATTCATCTATTGTGGACTTTCATTCTTGGATTACTATTCTCCCCCCTTCACCTCCTTGCTCCCATTCTATGCTAGAAATATCTTTGTCATCGATGATGAGTTTTGCTCCAGTAGATGCAGTAGAGGAATGGATTGGGAGGACCCTGACCTTGTGGATAAGAAGAATCCTAACTCAGCGGAAGAAAGAGGAAATGGTTGTCTCACTGGCTTTATCACGAAGGTAAATATATGAATAATATGGAAAACTTGTGCTTAATTTGAGTTTAATATAATATAACTACACTTAAGATTTATATAAATTGGATTTGATTATTTATTTGTTAGATGAAATACCTTATTAATGAATTAAAATTTAGTAGGATTAATTAAAAAAATATTAATGAAGGTCAAATTTTATTAGTTTTAAATAACAATCAATTTTTAAGAAACCGAACCAGATCGGTTGGTTCAACATGTTCAATCATGAACCAGTGGCTGATCCGGTCTGAAACATATGGTAGACTATTTTTGTCATCGGACCGTCAAGAACCGTTAGTTTAATCCATAAATCGGAGAATCGATTCAACATTTTGAAAAAATATAAATATTATTTTATTTCTTTTTTCTCTCTCATTTTAATGGTTACAACTCATGCGCTTCCGCAAAAGCAACCTCAGAGTCGTCAGCTCATATATATATATATATATATATATATAG